TTGGTGCAGTTCTTTTCTGACCCCCATGGCTCAGTATCTACCCCGTCAGTGCTTCCATTAAGAGTAACAAACTCATTGATTTTTACTATATACACTGGCACTAATTGAAATTTTAAAAGCCACAGGTGTGGGACATTTAACCGCTAATTAGCATTGTAACCCAGGCGTGTGTCACCTGGTGTGTCTGTACCCCACGGCCAAACATTCCAGGGAATGTAAACTTTTGAATCCGGACCATATTAGGGTGATTTCTGTTATCATTATTGATTTAAAAGAGCTCAAACAAACTATTTGTATTAAATGGCTTCATATGGACCATCATCCTTCATAAAAGAGCATTTTTTGGCATGATCAATCAATATTTGCATTATCAATGCCACAATTTCACAATTTCTGCTAGGGTATGTAAACTTTTGACCATAACTGTACGACATGCCTCACAGTTTCTGGCACACTGTAATCTAGAGTGACGAGAGAAAAATAGAGCTTTATGGTCAAAACCATAAGCGCTTTGTTTGGAGTGGGGTCAACAAGACCTATAGCGGGAGGACAAGAATACCATCCGCCACTTGTGAAGCAATGGTGGCGGTGGGGGCTCACTGGTGTTTTAGGGGTGCGTGAGCTCTAAAGGCATGAGGGTTTCTTGTGAAAATTGATTGCAAGATGAATGTAGCGATGTTATCAGAAAAATACAATTTGCATTCTTCTTGGACTTTCCAGCACGACAATAACCCTAAGCACAAGGCCAAGTTAAACCCTCCAGTGGTTACAGCAGAAAGAGAGGGACAGTTCTGGAGTGGCCATCACAATCTCCTGACCTTAATATAATTGAGCTGGGGGAGATCTCACACGTGCGGTTCATGAAAGACAACCAAAGCGTTTGCACAGCCTGGAGGCATTTTGCCAGTTGGCAGCTATAACCACCTGTAATTATTCAGGGTCTCATACGAGAACTATTACAAATGACTGCACAATGTCTTTGATGCCAAACGGAGCAATGCACAGTATTAAGAATTAAGGGTATGCAGACTTCTGAACAGGGGCCGTTTCATTTGTTTTACTTGTTGCCATGTTTTGTTAAATGATTGAGCAGCATTCTGTTATGACATACAGTGAATATGAATCCCATAAGAAATAAAAGAAATGTGTTTTGTCTGCTGACAAATTACCAATTCTCCAAGGGTATGCAAACTTTAGGCACAAACTTGGTGTGTATATATATATATATATATATATATATATATATATATATATATATATATCATATTCAGGGCACCGGAGGCCGGGAGGCGCTTTCCCACATGTTTAAACCAATCTAATGTACACAAAAGAAAAAAAAAATAACATATCTGTAATTCGGCTTTAATAAGGGTAAAGTATATTTAAGGCTAGTATATATATATATATACGAGAGAGAGAGAGCAGACACAGCCAATCAAGATTCCACCCTCTACAACAAAACAACAAATAGCTTTTTTCCAATTCACTTGAGCTTATTCTTTCCTGGCATGTACTAGATTATTATTTATACATAAATACTGGTATGTATTAAAGGTCGGTATTAATCAAAGTGTCACCCTTAAACACAGGTATTTAAAATGAAAGACAAGCCGATTAGACAGTTTTCTACCTTTTCTGCAGATACGATGTTCCTGCATGTGCTGCCCCCAACTTCTGAGTCACGTTTGTAATTTCATTTCCTTTGTTACTAGTGAAAATATTCTTATCAGGGATTAAAGTGGTTGCAAATCCTTTACATATACCCAGTGAAGTGACTAACCTCAGGTGATACACAAATCCTCCTACATAAGTTGTACATGTTTATCTGTGGTCTTTTCTTTTTTACATCTATGTAATGTCCAGAATTTGCACAGCATTTCTGAGCTCCAGCAGGCAGGGGGTGGTGAACAGATGCCACACACTGCACAGCATAGCGCAGAGAGCTGAGTGTAATCTGAGACCTGAGTGGAGGGATGGACTGTCTCATAGGGAAACATGCACAGCTAAAGCTGTCAATCAGAGGCTGTGTGCTTCCTTAGGGTCAGCACCACGTAATCAGAAGGGAATCATTCAGATAACAGAGGAAGGAGACTGCAGGGGAGGAAGAAACTACTTTAAAGCCATATCACCAAACTCTCATACAGTTAGGTCCATATACTATATTTGGGCACAGGCACAATTTTAGATTTTTTCAGGTATTTACCAAAACATGCTCAAGCTATAGTTATATAATGGATAAACCGTAGCTGTCTTCAGTTGTTCAGGCATTGCGGAATATTTCACTTATTTTCCTTTCAAAAGACTCTTGGGTTGCTTTTGCAGTGTGTTTTGGATCATTGTTTATCTGTATGTGAAGCACCGTCCAATCAACTTTGCAACATTTGGCTGAATCTGGGACTGACAGTAATATCTCTAAACACCTGCAGAATTCATCCGGCTTCTTCTGTCTTCTGTCACATCATCTATAAAACACCAATGACCCAGTGCCACTGGAAGCCATGCATGATGGGGTGCTATTCCCCCCAATGATACTAATGAGTTGGGGCACTATTCCTGCCACTGGATACCAATGATGGGGGGGCACTATTCCTCCCACTGACACCAATGATGGGACTCTATTCCTCTCACTGATAACAATGATGGGGCACTATTCCTCCCACTGATACCAATGATGGGACACTATTCCTTCCACTGACACCAATGATGGGGCACTATTCCTGCCACTGATACTAATGATGGGGTGTTATTCACTCCCACTGACACCAATGATGGGGCACTATTCCTGCCACTGATACTAATGATGGGGCGCTATTCCTGCCACTGATACCAATGATGGGGCACTATTCCTCCCACTGACACCAATGTTGGGGCACTATTCCTCCCACTGACACCAATGATGGGGCACTGGGGCAGTGGGAGGAATAGTATTCCCATCATTGGTGTCAGTGGGGGGGGAGGAATAGTGTCCCATCGTTGGTGTCAGTGGGGGGGGAATAGTATCCCATCATTGGTGTCAGTGGGGGGTGGAATAGTGCCTCATCACTGGTCGTCAGTGGGGGGTGGAATAGTGGCCCCATCATTGGTGTCAGTGGGGGGGGGGGAGGAATTGTGCCCAATCGTTGGTGTCAGTGGGGGGGGAGGAATAGTGGCCCCATTGTTGGTGTCAGTGGGGGGGAGGAAAAAAGTGCCCCATCGTTTGGTGTCAGTGGGAGGAATAATGGCCCCATCTTTGGTATCAGTGACAGCAATGATGGGGTACTATTCCTCCCCACTGACACTTGCTGACCCCTGTTCCAGTACGGTGCTGCTGCACCCAGCATATGTGGTTGCAGCAGCACCTAAGCACGGCACACTTACCTGCATCATCTCCACTCGATTTTCGCGGGGCCCGCTCAGCTCCGCCTCCTCACTGGGTGCTTGTTTGGCCGCCTGTGTGCCTTTTCCTGATGCTACAGTTCTGCCGGCCAATCACCGGTGAGGAGGGGAGACCGAGCAGCTGCGTTAGGCGAACATCCAGTGGACGAACCGAAGGAAAGGAGCAGCCACGCTTCCTGGACCGGATCGTCGTGGGACCAGAGCCAGGTAAGAGACAAAAGCAGCCCTGCCCGCCCCTGTACCTTTTCACCTTCTGTTGGAAGGGGTGGGGGGCGGCGGGGGGGGGGGCGGCGGGCACCGCGCCCGCCCACCTAAAAAAGAGTCAGCATGCCGTTACGGCGTATAAGACGACCCCCGACTTTGAGAAGATTTTCAAGGGGTAAAAGTCGTCTTATACGCCGGGAAAATACGGTAAATTGTTATTATTCAGGTATGCATTATTTCTCTCCTTCCTAAGCTACAACAGAAAGTTATACCAGCAAGAATTAGTCTTTATGTAGAAAACTATGATTTAAATCAAGCCTTACTGACTAGTGATTTAAAATCGTGATTTAAAACGTGATTTAAATTCAAAAATCCACCCTGATTGGAACACCTGAAACCAATGATTTTAAGGGGGGTGTCCCAATACTTTTGGCAATATAGTGTATATTGTATATACTCTAGAGAATAAATGGATATAGACGCACTAATTTGATAACAATGGCTTAGTAGATGCAAAGAGGTCCCATTTAACAGAAGAAATAGCAACTTGAGTCTCGGGTTGTTTTAAAGTTCCTGATGTGATAGTAGCTGTTGTCTTTTGCTAGCAATGGTGGGGTCCATATACCCAGTAGTTAGTTAATGGTAATTCAGTGAAGATAAACAGATTGACTGTGGTAATATGCTCAAAGCAAGATCTCCAGGTGTGAAGGGGTTCTGCATGCAGTGTCTCTAGAGGTTTTTCAGACAAGATGGTCTGAGCATCTCCATCCATCTCACCAATCCCAATGGATAGCACGGCACCTCCTAGGGACAGGATTCTCTTGCATGGCTCTTTGGCTGTTTTGCAGAGAAGGTGCATTGTTACATCTTTGACAGCCTGTCAGCGTGGCAGGCAGAGATGACCGCCTGAAGCCCTGGATATCTAGTGGACAGTTCTTGCCCTTTGCAGAGAAGCTGATGTGATCCTGGTAGGTGCGGCACGCTATGCAAATAACTGTGCATGGTCCTCCCCAAGTTACTTTGGCCCCACAGTCAGGCACACATGGTTCATTCACATGTTTCTCCTCAAATAATCAGTCCCTAGGGTGTTATTCTTGTTGTTTTTATTTTTTGAAGAATAGGGATAGGGAAAAAGGAGAGGAGAATTGGGACTTCAAATTAGGAACTATATACACTGAGGACTTGTCTAATCTTCAGGAACAATCTACTATATCCACACTTAAATCAAACAAGTGGACTTTCAGCTTTAAGCAGTAGCAACAGTTAGTAGCAGTAACAGCTGTAACTTTTTCAGAGCATCAGAGCAGCGTGTGTCCCTTTAGTTAGTAGTGAAACAGATGGACAAAGCACTTAAGAACACCAGCTGGTATTTCCTTTGATGAAAACTCGCAGCTGACTTTTCTAGCAACACAGTCTCTCAGATCCTTAGCAATGTCTGTACTCCGCAAGGCACAAGAGTAACTGGATTCCTTTCTTCATGATACCAGACCCAGAAATCTTCAGGGTGACAGCCCCTCAATCAGCATAGCAGAACCTGGGTGCTCAGCAATTCAGGCCCTCATGTAGCTGACCTGAGGGCACCATTAGAGCAAGCTGCAGGGGGGGGGGCATTAGAGCAAACTTGGGAGGGAGATTTCTGTGTGGCTTACTGAATATATACAGTTACCCAGCATGCCTTAGAAGCCCGTCTCTCTGGGGATAGGCTAGCGAATGACTTTGCTATCATTATTAATGCTGCCATCTGCATAGTTCACACCTAACATCCAGAAATGTCTACAGGCTGGCTCTGGATACAGAGGAACTAGGCAGACTAGCAGCAACACAGAACAGGTCTCACTAAATTATCCCACAGCTCACTCAGTACAGTGAGCTAACTATACTTTTACACTAGAAATAATTACCAGCCACTCTGCCTACAAAGTGACAACTAGATTTACTATCAAAACATAACATAATCCTTTCATATTCCTAATCCTGGTGCACCTACCCTTGGAGTGGTGCTACACAAATTATTTTTCTGTACCCAACTTACATTGTGTGTGGACATGCTAGCATCTATCCATTATATTAAAAACCAACGTTTATTCAAGAACAGTGAGCCAACACATACAACACACATCAGCGAATGACTACAAGGAGTAATACAAAGCGGAGTAAATTTTTGCACATTGCATAAAATATTCATCAAAGAAGTTTTAAAAAAATATATTTACTATATATGGTGTTTATGGCGGGCATCACCATAAAATACTAATAGGGCAACGCTCACACCACAGCAAAGGGACTACCTGTAGACAGGCTGCGGGACATCCTAGGCAATACAATGGGAGTGTAAGGTTGGGTAGGTCTTCTATAATTGCACTGAATGCTACAGCAACAATGACAGAATTGCGAGTCTGCATATTGCGAACAAGGCAATTTTAATTTCAACCTTCAAACTTTCAAAATCATTGTTCCTTTTCAATCATGGCAGTTTGAAAACACGGTATCTGTAATTTTTAACAACATTAAATGTACAGCCAGGGCTTATTTAGGCAATTGTATATACTAATATTATTTTTTTATTCTTTGCTATACAGTTGGTATAAGTGTTCTATACTTTTATCTCCCATGAAAGTGGAGTTACGGGAGGGGGGGGGGGGGTGGGGGGGGGGGGGGGGGGGGGGGGGGGGGGGGGGGGGGGGGGGGGGGGGACACTTTCTATCGATATTACACATGGCGGCATTGGACAGCTTGTGTGAAATAATGCAGGCCATAATAATTTAAGTGTTAGAAAACATTACTTCATTGCCTCCGCCACTGCCTGTTCTCTCCTGCTGCCTACTTTTTCTCACTTTGGCCACTGAATTAGTTGACCAGGCCCACAGGCGAACTTGCGTCTGGCAGCAATGCCCACTCTGCTCCCACAAAGCAGGTGGGTGGGCATTGTCTCCAGTTGCTAGGCAAGAGCTCTGTTCTGCCAGTTCTCAGCCTGCCTGTCTGCCCTGACTGTCCCTGGTGCCGCAGGTGTAGGTGAATCCCTATTCTAAACACCACACATCCAGGTGCTCCTGAGCATTTGTGATTAGGTTTTTCACTACCACTAGGTGCAACACATTGCAGTTCCTGTAGTCTCCCAGTTCTAGACTTTGCTATATGTACCCCTGAAATACCACTTACTGTCTAGCTTCCTGCACCTGACCTCCTCGTCTGTTCTTGGAGTTAAGCACTTACTGTCTTTCACCTGCCCCTGACCTATGTCACTGTCCATGAGTTACTGTAAAGTTTTGTCCTGCCACCTAGCCCTAGCTTTTGTCTATCCCTAGAAAATATCCTTACTGTCCTGCTACCTGCCCTGACTTCTGCCTGTCACTGGATTGACTTACTGTCTGCTGCCTACCCTGACTTTTTTGCTGTCACCTGGATTTACACTTATTGTTTTGCCTCCTGCCCCTGACACTGCTATCCATGGGTAATGATACTGGATGCTGCCATGCCTGATCTCTGGCTGCCTCAGGATTTTTGCTGTTGACTACACATCTACTAGGACATCAGTCCACACCTTACTCTACAGAGGGCCACCAGGTCTCCTTTGTATGCCCTTGCTCTGTTTATTTTACTGGCTAGCCAGCGACTCTAAGCCCTGCTATTAAGTGCTGGGGGCTCAACCAAAGTTACCAGTAGGCCTGCAGCCTTAAGTGAATTGGGGGATTGCTATAGGGGAAGCTAAAAATTGCCAGCTACAGTATAGTCTCTGATCACAAATTATATATATGTTGCGCAGTGTCTTTAAATCGTTTAACCAGTGTTATAGTATATAAATAATTCCAAACAATGATTATTAATTGTGCAATAATCAAACCTTAGTCTTATGTCAAAAAAATATCATCTGTGCATATTAAATATAAATAACAGTGCTCCTCCATTAAGTGACAAAAATGTCTGTGTTTAACGTGGAAACTCCACCCAAAAGGGGAAGTTCTACTTTTCCTGCCCCCCGCCCCCCCACACACACTCACACACACTGTCAGATTTGGCACATTTTTGGGGGAGGAGGGAGCGAAGTGCCTGTTTTGGCAGGTACACACTCCTACTTCTGGGGGCAATCGCCGCGTGATCTAAGCCAGAGGGTTTTTGACCCCATGCCTAACCACTGCAGCCTTCAGGGGACATTTCAACATGGTTCCCAGACGATTGATGGCCCAATTAACAAATGTGCAGCATGCTTCAGTAGGAAATGCGCTATATGAAACCAGCTGTGAAGACTTTCACTTCAGTTTCCCTAACTGAAGTTGCCAGCACCAGCAGCCGACTTGGAAGAATCAGCAAAAGATTTCGCTGTGACCCATGGACAGGTAAATTGGCCTTATATTAAAAGTCAGCAGTTCTGTATTTGTAGCTGCTGACTTTTTTTTTTGGGGGGAGAGCTTTGTTTTTAAAAAATACCCTGTGTCCCCCGGGGGTCTCCCCCACACACCCTAGCCTCTTCCCCGACCTTCCAAACCTCCTTTTATAAAGTGTCTTAGAATTATTTTACCTTAGAAATTTGCCCATCTGGGCACACAGAACTTCAAAAGACATCAGTAAAATTATTGTGAAGGGCTGCTTTAAGAACGGGAAGTCAGATGACGGCATCACACGAGTCACAAAAGTTTTTTCTTTGGCCAAAATAGTCTGAAAATTTTTGTC